CCAAGGGAAAGAAAGCAAGGACAAGTAACAAACCCTATATTGAATCTGGCCGTCTATTTGGTGTTTGATATCCAACTAAAGTAGAAACCGAAGAGGAATAATACATCCCAAGAAATGAAAATTCGAAGTTGACCAAGAACAAAGTTGTACATGTATAAATATGCGTAGTCCTTATCACCTTCTTCTCAAACTTGAAAATCAACAAGCCTCTTCATGTACCAAACATGGCTGCCCCCCTTTATAAGTTGACCTCAATCACTGTCTTCCTCTGCATGACCCTCTTGCTTTCCTCTATCAACGGTTCATCATCTCACAGTATTATATTTCAGTTATTTAACATGATGTCTTTACGTAGTGTGCTTTGATTATTAGTAATGGAGGATGTTAATGTTGGTCTCATGTGCTTGTATATGCATGAAGCAGCACTGTAGAACATGTAGCCGGACAAATCCAAGTTTTTGTAATCATAAATGTCTTAAAGAGGGTGCTGTTGAGGGAAGTTGTCACTTCCAAGAGGGTTCTCCTGGATTTATTTGCTTTTGCTTCTACAACTGTTGACCATTTTCATCACGTGTCGTCCTCATGCTTACTCATATGTAAGACCGGAAGAAATATGTTTCAATAAGTTGTTGCAGTTCAGGACCTTCGTGTCTGCTAGGTTTCATGAGCACTGTGATTTCATGTGTCTGATTTTATTTGTTTTTGGTTTCCTTCTGCCGAACTCATATGCCTGCATTTACCTTTTTTTTTTTAATCCAGCCCGTCACTGACAGGATTTAGGGCTACGTCCATGTTATTTTGTAATATTAACAAATTTAATCAAATAATTTTTAACAATTTTAATCACATGCTAACTGAAAAAAGAGAGAAAAAAAAATACAACACTTAAAAGAGGTAGCTCAAACCCAAACCTTTAACTCATCATGAGCAAGTTTAAAAGTCATTTTATGCAAATTCAAGCCAGCCCTAAAAAAAAAAGTGTAGGGCCGAAACAAATAGCTTAAAAGGCCCAGCTCTTATTAACAATTATAGTCACAAATTAGTAAAGAAAGGACAAATAAAAATATTTAACTTTATCCAAAAAAAGGACAAAAATCAGAGAGATTTAACTTTATAAGATTTAACTTTACGATTAATGAACATAATTCAAACTACGTTCGACTAGGTGAGATATCTCAAAGGAATTAACATGTTCAACTTTGTAAATGAGTCATTTGGAAATAAATCGTTCAATATATAAAGATGACAAATAAGTTTCTTAATTGACACAAAGAAATCGTCCCACTAGTTCTTACCATTTCCTCTAGCCAGATTTTAAATATTGAAGGTTAACAATTCTCACTTTATCGTCACAATAAAGCGTAAATGGTCGTGCATGGTCTCCTAAGTTAAATATGTTAGTTAACAAAGATTAATCTATTTAATAAGAATTAGTTCTATAACTCACAAGATCATATGATTAAATTTTGCTATCAATGTGAGGACTTTCATCGGCAAGCAATTTGTGACTATATTTATAAACACTTTTTGAGCTAGAAAGAATGGCTCTAATAAGTTTCAGAGTACAACTCACCTAAACTTTTTTTATTTCTTGTTAATTGTATGTGTCTCGCCTGTTGTCAAAACTTCTTCGTATTTGTTAGATGTACAAACGCACATATGGGTGCAGAGAATGTTGAAGCAGCACTGCGTGAACGCCGTAGCAAATATTTCCTGGGATTTGTCTCGACGGTGCTGAGCCTGAATGTGATGCTACATGCTTAAGAGAAGGTGCTGTTCAGGGGAAGTTGTCATCGCGAAGGTTTCGGATATGCTTCCAATATCTCAATATATATATGATATCAATAAATAGTGCTACTGTTAAAGCACTACGCCTCCGCTTTCTATCTGAATAAGAATTGTGATTTCGTCTTTGTTTTCTCTATCAAATAAGTACAAGTTAGTATAAAAATAAAAAGAAAGGACTTGAAAGCTTGCTATTCGAAGTTTAAAATGGGACTGACTCTCCATACCATCAAATTTCTCAAATTAAATATGTTTAAGAATAATATATTTTACTAAAATAGTTTAAACAATTTGATTATATACTTCTCAAACTTTATATATTTATGATCTATCTTTTAATATTTAGATGTGAGACTTCTTTTATTTTTTAATATTCCCTCTAATCTATTGCTTTTTTTTATTTTTTATTTCTTGTCAGGGCTTGTGGTTTTTTAATTTGAAGTCTTAGGTCTATTCAACTTCTTCTTCTTCTTTTTTTTAATCTCTTGTTTCTTTCTTTCAATATTTCATTCTTTTTCTTTTATTTTTTTTCTTATTTTTTGTCTCAATCAAATAACTCTGATACCATGCTAGATTTTTTATATTAAACATGTTTAAAAATAGTATACTCCACTAACATAGCTTAAGCTATTTGGTTAAATATTTTTTAAATTTTATATATTTATAATTTATCTTTTAATATTTAGATGTGAGATTTTTTTTATCTTCTAATATATGAAAGAGGGACTTGTGTACACTTTTTGAAACTCAAAAACTAGGCTTTCTTGATTGCAGGAGCAAGTACTTCGTGTTTGGGGCGTCTTTTAAATAAAATTCAAACTTGTGGACTCACACTTGAGGGCGAGATTATTAGATTATCTAAGTATGAGTGGATTTGAGCTGATATAGAAAACCTCACATCGGATAAAGTTCAATTTAATAAGTAATATAAAAATAAAGAAGGATGACTCATAATTTTAAGCCTTGAGGTTGAATTAAAATGTTGTATCATTCCATTACTCTTTGCCCATTTGCCCTCTATCCATGTTTCCGAGCAGCCGATCCTCATTCCTAATGGTAAGTAATATCTACATATAAATATTTATTTAATAAAATTGTTAACACTTTCAGAAAAATTGGTTACTAATCCTTTGCACAGTTATAGCAAAGCTAGGGAAAAAAGGCAAGTCCCATAAACATAGCTTTCTTTCTCCATTTTAAGATTGTCCTCCTTCGCACCGTATTCCTCCGCATTGCAAGTACTATTTTATATTGAATTAGATTCAATCATAGATAAATTTCTTTAAGAATATAACTCTCGAAACACCTGTCTTTATCATTTTCTCTTTCTATATTTTTACTTTTTTCTATACATTTAATTAACAACTTTTACGTCAGTATGTGCTTCGGTTGTTATTAGCCGAAATTATAGTCAGTCGCGAGCCTCTAATAACTTCGCATTGAATCACTATTTACGAGATTTTTGTCTTACAAGGAACGCACATATAAATGGAGATTCTTTAAAGACTTTTGATCATACGTGTCTTCTATGGGTAAACAATTATACATGGATTTTGTCCTTATGTGTTAATGCATGTGCATGGATTGGTCATATATATTTATATATAATTTCGAAGAATGCTTAGCGGAACATTTTCTGGGATTTGCACTGATCGTGATCTCCCTATTATGATCTTGTAATACTATACTACATGAAGCTTTCCACATTTGACTTGAATTAAAATAAATATATTCTGGGATTTGTCCCGGTCTCCCTATTGTTAGTTGTTACGCTGCAGAAAGCTTTCAATATATTGTTTGACATTAATGAAAATAAAATGTTCAATTGAATATTTGTTGAACAAAATGGATTGACTTGTAGATTGATGATTATATATGTTGATGATATTCCAAGATCTAACTTGCCGACACAGTGAGTATTTAAAATAAATTATAAAAACACATTCAAAAAGGACTTATCCACTAACCAATGAGGGTTGGGTTTATCGGAAGAAGTCAGTTCTTTACAATGTAATGAACTAAGATTTGAATCTCCTTTAAGAAAAATGCTTACATTTAGTATCGGACCATGCTTCGAACATGATTGTCTTCAATAAAAAAATACATGTGAGCAACTAAGGATCACCGTCAGTCTTTCAATGAAATTTTATTATGCCAAAGTAAACGATAATGCTACTATACTAGGATTCCATACTTATCATTAATGAGTGTCTCATGCTTATCATTATAAAAGATAATCATCGCATGGAATGAGAGTATGTGGAAGCTTTGGCGTTGATTTCGATAAATACTCTATACTATACAACAAATTCAATCAGCTTGCTTGGGCTGCAACTAATATATTTATTAAAGTTCGTTTCAACGTCTTCCTACACAATCATTTGTAACAAAATGATTATGAATGCCGATGACTAAGCCATGAATAGATTGGGTCTTCTTTTTCTGCAAAATATTTTCTAATTGAATTTTGCATTTTGAAGGCTATTTTAATTGAGAGGAAATAGTTAAAGATTCTTAAATTAGGAGTTATTATATTTTTTTTAAAAGATGGAATGAAAATGAGAAGCTTTTAAAGGACAAATGGTATATTTGTTTTAAAAAAGAAATAAAGAAGGAAAGGAGGGTTGTTGGCTTAATTGGTTGAGAAAATTTTGGAAGAAATTCAGGTAATTAATATCCAATATCAAATATTAAATTTAATATTTATTTATCATAAAAATATATACAAGCATAGACATATATAACTTAAATTATTTAGAAATAAAAATTATTTTATATTTAAATAATAAAATATTACGATAAAATTCAAAATATTTTAGAAGGGGGGGAAAGCGATATATTGATTCCCATTAAAGTAAGGTTGGTGGTTTGAAACTTGTGAAAAAATAAAAGATCATATTAAAAGAATTACCTATAATTAGATCCAACAGTACAGTCGAATGTGATCTAGTAATATTGGAAGCCAAAAGATCTTTTTTTTTTTTTAAAGAAGGGGCATTGATTAATTCAATCTTCGAGTGTGTTTTGCAACGTTGATTTAATCAAAGGCCAAAAAGCTTCCACCTCCCTATATGCATTCCATGAAATGAGGACGCTCATTAATGAAGACCATGTGGTGGTGCTCCGCACGAGAGCAAGGACTCAGCCAGAAAGATAAGGACGAGAAATTAAATTAAGCAGGCCGTGTGTTGAAACCCCAAACCAAGTTAAGAACCATGAACACCGTTTTGTTGACCCCAAAGGGGGGGGGGATGAACACCGTTCTGCTATATATACATGTAGTCCTTCACAGTCTTCATTCACAACTACAATAAACTTGCAAACAAACAAGCCTCTTCATTCAGTTGTGATACTATTCTTATTACCAAACATGGCAGCCTCTCTTTTCAAGTTCATTGGCTTCCTCTGCATTGCCCTTGTCCTTTTCTCTTCCACCGGTTAGTTAATTATTGTGTCCGTACGTATTTTAATCCATTTGTACTAATAATAATGGATGTGCATGGCGTAATTAACTTCTATATATATATATATTGTGCAGAGAATAGTGTTGCAGAAGCGAAACTGTGTGGAAAACTAAGCAGAACATTTTCTGGGGCTTGTATCCGAAACTGTCCGTGCGATGTTAAATGCTTGAGAGAAGGTGCTGTGTCGGGAAGCTGTCATATTCATGGTTTTGGACGGGCTTGCTTTTGCTACCGCAAATGTTGATCATAAGGGAAGCTATGAGCTATCATATCACTACGTGCCTTGATTCCTCATGCTCATAATAATCAAGCTACACTATCAGTTCCTAATTGTCATGCTTTATAATTATTATAATTATAACTATGTGCGTGTGTGAATAAACGGTGCTTCAGTTAATTAATGCACCATGCACGTACGTGCGCGTCGAAGTTCATGTGTGTCTTTGTGTTGCGTGTCTGCTTTTCTCGATCTTTATTTATGTTCTTTCTCTTGTTTTCTTTATTGTCTTCTGTATGGATATGGTAGTGGTGATCTTCCGGTATGAAGGATATATTTGGTTGTTTAAAAATATCATCAATGCTGTAATTTTAATCTGTGTCTACTTTAAAATTTAAATATTGTATGTATGGTTTTGTATTGTGAATTTATTAATTTTGAAGTTTGTCTCATTTGTATGCTTTCCAAAACTGAATCAAAATTATAATTCTCACGAACTCTTTTATAAAACAAATCATAAATTCATATATATATATATATATAGATAATTGAGTTAATCAACATTCTAGATCCTAGTGGCAGAGCCATGTTTAACTGAGGGGGAAAATGCACCCCCTTAATTTGGCTAAAATTATAAATATATGGTGTGAGATTTAATATTATATAATCATATCTTATATCTTTGTATTTTTACACTTTTATTCTTAATTAATTATTTATGATCGCTCAAGTCCTAATCAAGATCTAAATATATCAATTACAAATTTTTCAAATTCATAATTATTTAATTTAAGCAAAATAAATTTTAACACAAAATATTAAACTCTTACTATACACAAGACAACCTTTATAAAAAAAATATCATTATTTACCTTTTAATTACAAAATCAAATCCAAATTTTTCACAATGGTTTTTTTTTCATTATTTACTTTTTATTTCTTGCTCAACAATATAATTTTAAAACATGGAATCATAAAATACTAAATTTTGTGATTATTTTCAATTATTAAATGTTTGTTTTTATAATATTAATTTTTGACTCCACCACTTCTAGACCTTAAATTATTATGTGAATAGCATCTTAAATCTTGAATTCTTGAAATGTGCACAATCTTTCCTCAATTTCTAAATTATGAAGAACTTAAAATCTCATTGTTAAGTTGGTAAAAATGGCCATTATTTTTAAGGGTTAAGATAAATGGCACATCAATGTGTGACTAGGCCTCACAACTACAAAAGTAATAGTAATTTCTTCAACTTAATAATAAGATTTCAAGTACTTAGAATTTAGAATTAATGAGAATTTTGCACATTTTAGGAGTTAAAAGTCTAGGCTGCTATTCTAATATTAGTTTAAGGTCTAGGATTCTTATTAACAAAAGAAATCGTGCCATTATTTAAAAGCTATAAACAATGGAAGCGATCATTTTTACTTTAAATGGCGTCATTTTATTTAATTTGTGACGATTGTTGATCATGAAATTTTTTGAAATAAAGTTGACAAGTTATTATAAACCCTGATCATGATATTGAGGCATTAAAGATTAATTGACTTATACATCTAGTGATAAAAATAAAGCTTGTCATCCATAATAAATATCACTAAAAAAAAACTAATAATTAACTTAAGCATGTGTTTGTTTCAAAAGGAGAGAGGAGAGGGGAAGGTTAATGATCTTTTGTTTCATTATTTGGATAGATGGTAAAAGAGGAAAAAATTTTAATGAATTTTTGTTTGGTTCAAGAAGAGACAAAAGAATCGATAGTAAGTTAACAATTATATTTCTATTAAATTTAAGTTCATTTTCATTTTCATTTTTTGTTTTAATGTATTATTAAAAATAGTTATTATAATTTTTATTTATTATTTTAATATGAACCGATACAACTCAGGGATTCATTAATGAATCAAAAATATCTTAAAACTTCACTATATATCTCAGATCACGATGGATAATTATTAAAGCATATACATAGAACTATTCACATAAGAAGACCAGTCACATAGAAGAAAACAAATCGAAGACGAATACGCAGAGGGATCACAACTGACTCAGAAGAAACAGATCAGAGTGATCTTCACCAAATCCTTCATCGTATAATTCAATCTTTCTCACACGAAGCTGCGCCACTAACTAGGAGAGCAACCTCTCAGTTTTGGATTTGGGTTACACGCAATGAATTTCATGCCGTGAATGGGAAGTGAAAGGATCTGACCTTTCATTTTATGCTGTGGTTAGAAAGACAGGGTGTACAAAAAGTCTTATAATGTGCATTGAGCCAGTAATTTGGATCAAACCCAACATATAGCCTGAATAAACCTGAACTCTAAATGGACTTACGCCTCGTTTGGTATGATTGAATAGTTTTTGATAGAATTGATAATCGGAATTAGAATTGGAATCAGAAGATAGAATTGATTACAAAATAATTTTTAAGAAAAATTAGATGGAATCTAATTATAAAATGAATATTTAAAAGACAAAAATACCCCTATATAGAAATTAAATAAAACATAATAAAAGCTTAATTGTGTTTCATAGTTATTTTTTATATGTTAATGAAATATTATTAGATGATAAATATTATAAGTAAAATATTTTACAAAAATATTTTAATTTCCTCACATGTTTAGTATATAAATAAAATATTAGATAGATGATAAATATTATATCTAAGTAAAATATTTATAGAAGAAATATTATAAATACATATATCGTATTATATTTTACACATACACACATATATTATAATTGGGTGTGGTTAGGGTTATATGTTTTTACGGCAAAATGTCTTTCTATAATTTTTATGAGGGTAAAGTGTCTTAAAAGTCACAATTCTATGAAATTACCCCTAATTTCATAGCTTTAAATAACAGAATTCAATTCAACCTATTTTCATGGAATTGGAATTCTTGGAAATATGATTCATGTCTAAAATATCACTTTATTCAGATTCTTTTCAATTCCACACCCCCATCTCTACAATTTCAGTCTACCAAAACATGGCCTTGTAGTTACTTCGAATACCTGAATTTTTTTTATTATGATAAACTATAATTAAAATAAGATAAAATTTCAAAATCCGATTTTTAAGACAAAATATTGAAATGGTTAATATAAATAATATTTAATAATTCAAGTATTTGAATTAGCCTAAAAGTCTGAGATGTTTAGGGTTAGGCTTAGTTAATATAGATTTTCTTATACATTTAAGTATTTTAAGCTAGATTTGAGTAAGCCTCCCCCTCCTCAGTTATCTACCCAAAATTTACCTTGAAAAACCTGAAATGCTTTATTTTATTTTTATAACGTGATATACTTTAAAAAAATGCATTATTATAACATTGAAGGGAAGGAACCCTGAGAACGAATATGGAAGTTAATTGTGATTAGGGTTTCAAAATTATGAAATTATAATGCTGGAATTTTTATTTTTGGACCAACTATGCTGGACCTTAATTAGTCGTTTTTTGCCGAGAAAGAAAAGTTTCTTAACCAAATTAAATGCCCATGAAACAATTTTTTCAAAAAAAAAAAATCCCTCCCTCCCTCACAACCCTTGATTTTCTTCCGCTTCCTTCAATCTTCTCCATCGGAACACACTGAAACAAAACCCCCACGCAAGCTTCAGCCTCTTCTTCACACCCGACAAGAGGATGCATATTATTCAAATAATAAATGAATTTTCATTTAATTTTATAAAGACAATAGAAGCCTCACTATGACAATAACTTGAAACCATAACAATATGTATGTCCAATGATCTAAACCCAAAATAATGATTTAACAAAAAATGATGAAAGCACAATATAATAATACTCCAAACCAGCTAAAAGAAGAACAACACCTTCAACTTATTTTGTTATCATATTAAAAGTCCTTTGTGCATGTGTCTATATACAAGGCATCGACAAGAGAACAGGGACAATTTAGAAGATATTATAGGACGCTCAATCGACACTTTCGAGATGGCAAAGCAAAAAACAAACCGGCCAGGATACAAGAAACAGTCAACGTCTTCTATATATCCCAAATAAATGAAATGGCGAGATAATTAATCACCAAAATACCAGCGCTCTCTCTCTATATATGTATATATATTAGTTCATTCGATCCCCTTCAATTCAAACTCGCAAACAAGCTTCTTCTTCACTGAGTCTGATATAGACACTGATTAATCTTATTAACAAACATGGCTGCCTCCCTTTTCAAGTTCACTATCTTTCTCTGTATTGCCCTCATCCTTTTTTCTCCCAACGGTTAGTTTACTTAATTACCCATCACCAAACTCGATCTTTTGATTTTTTTCAATATCTTTACAGTAATAAAGGTTAATTATTAATTAACATTGCCATTCCTTCAGTATATTGTTCATTATTATTAGCCAAAATAAATATTGTTAACATCCATATATTGATACTATATTAATCTCAACAATTCCATCGTCTGTATGCATGAGCGCGCATTCATGCGACTATTCATTAAATCACTTTTTACGGGAAATTTTGTTTCGCAAAGAAAACACACATGCATATATGTATGGTCTCTTATATGTCTCTTTGTGTGTGTTATTAAGAGAATAATATTGCTGAAGCAACACTTTGTGCGGAACTTAGCGAAACATTTTCTGGGATTTGTCTCCACAAGAAACCATGCAAGTCTGCATGCCTACAAGAGGGTGCCATTGACGGAAGCTGTCATTTTCACGGTATTGCACCTGCTGCTTTTGCTACTTCCGGTGTTGCGGGAAGCCATCTCGTGCGTTCCTCGTGATATCAAGCAGCTCCTTTAATTTCCGTATAATATAAATTAATAAATAGTGCTTCAGACAGTTAAAGCACTACGCACGCACGCCCTTGTCGAAGTTATTATGTTTGGCTCGTTGTTTGGCTGTGTCTTAACTTGTCTGGTGTGTGTGTGTGTGTGTGTTGTGTGTGTTTTTCCCTTTTAATGTTCTTTCTCTTGGTTTGTTACGTTTATGTCTTTTGTTATGGATATTGCATCTGTTGATTTCGTGTTATGTAATGAAGGGTACAGTTATCTTTTGAAAAAGAGCACTACGCGTCTGCTGGTATATATTTTGAGTGGTGACATTGTTGGAATAGTTTTGGATTTGCAGTTATTGAGCCTGGAATATATTGATTTTTATGATGTTGTTGTAATGGATGGGCCATATAGTGAACTCATTGAGCAGCAATTCAACCTATAACCTTTTAGTTGTTAGTTTTATCCTTATCACAAAGTTGAGTGAGTGAGAGAAGCTTATGGGAGAATTAATTAATTAACTAATTATATTTAAGAGGTAACTAACCTAATCTTCAATGGGTTTGACATTCTTTGTCTTTTTCTACTCTCATGCTCTCTATTTCTCTTTGTAAATTAAAGGAGCTGTGGGTTGTGAATCTGTCCACCGGAGATAATCAAGATCTTAT